TGGAGAGCACTCTATTCAAATGGAATTGTCTGTAGTTGAGATGATCTCTTAACTAGCCATCAATTAGCATTTCAAAGCATTCGGATGAACAGTATTGCAGAAAAAACAGTCAAGCTGGGATCTACCCACCTTCAGTCTTCTCAACTTCTTTAAACCTCTGGATAAATTTCAGCTTCCTTTCCTTGGTCTGGGCCCCCATGGGCTTCGAAAGATCTCGGAAAGTCTTGGGATTCGTCAAGTTCAGCGTCTAGAAGGCAGATGGGCTGCTGGAGTGAACTCCCCTCAGACCCTCGTGTGCCCCAGCGAGACCTCGGGAGCCACGCTCTTTAGTTTTATGGTTCTCTTTATTGGTTTATGGTCGTTTGGGCTGACCCCCCTCTGGTGATTAGCAGGCAAGCTGAGGTTTTATGGCCCCAGAGCCAGTGATCCACAAAGACTTACTAGGGGAGAGTTGGAAATGAAGAGGAGGGAAAGATTGAGTTCACAGTGAACCTGTTCCGCCTTGACCCAAATCAGAACCTCGCCACCAGTTCCCAAAGAGACACTTTCAAAAGAATTCCTGTTGTCTCTGAGCCACTTGGCTCCGGCCCTCGCGGAGCAGTTTGCGTCGTAGTTCACGGTCCTTGCTTAGAATCAAACTGATTCTCTAAGAAGTTAGAAGTCATCTATCTGTCTGGGGAGGAAAAGGGAGGGACGGCCTCATTTTTCTGGAGGCCACTCCCTTCTGGGCAGTGGAAGCATGTGATGTCGCCCCTTCCCTGCCCTTAGGAACAGAGGACAGTGGACACCTGAAGACTTTTCAGGGCCAGGTGTCCTCAGGGACTTTGAGCAGAGATGTTCCCTGGGGTTGGCATGTCTTTATAGAAGGAGCTGTTTCTTCCCCCCACCACTGCCCTTCACCAGCAGGGAACTACCACAGTTGCCCTGGGGAGGCAGGAGCTGTCACCACCTCACACCTGCAGAAGCCAGGTGGGGCGAGAGTGAGGCAGACACTCAGAGACCCCAGTGGAGACAGCACAGGTGGAGACCCGCGCTCAGCTCCAGCTGGTTGTGCCAGGGCAGAACGGGCTTCACATTTGCCGAACTCCTGATTCCCCAAAAGATATTGGGAATCCAGACTTTTAGGAGAAATCTCCTGATTTTTAAACACTGAGAACTAACCAAAATTTTAAATACATCATACGGGCTAAACAAAAGGAGCTGGTCAGCCACCGCTTTGCAACATGTGAGTTCAAGTTGGGATTTTCAAGTTCGGTTTCTGAAGCACAGCCCCAGATGATCATGGGGGCAATAAGAAGCAACACATGGCTGGTGAGAGAAGGCCTGCTGTGGTAAGTGTCCTCAGTGGGGACAGGAGGTCATGGAAGACCCAAACTCCCTCTCCCAAACCTGAGGGTCAGCCACTGGAGCAGCCCGAGGCAGGACTGGCCAGAGCTGGTCTGAACCGGAACCCAGCCACCTTCCGCCCTTTATACACACAGCCAACACACCTCCTGATGGCCAGAGCCCAGGTGGTGGGGACACTGCTTCACACCCTGGACATTCCCCCATGACGTCACCTTGGTCCAGCTGTGGTCCTTCTCCCTCCCCTGCCTGCTGACGTCCAGGGGCAGAAGCCGAAAAAATCGAATACCCTGGTCTTGCCATCAGCTTCCCCTATGGCTACATGTCTCAGTACAGATCCTGGCTGAAGGCCACATACCATCATCTCAGTTACTGAAGTCAGGTTACAGGGGAGTAGTTCATTTTCTCTAGGTCTCTGTGTCTCTGTGTCTCTCTCCTGTCTCTCCCTTTCTCTCTCCATATTGACTTTAGGAACAAATTCCGTGTCCCACTTCCTTTGATGGACCAGTGTTGGTCCATGGCAGTCTCCCAGCAGATGGGTATCACTTACCTTCATTGTAGCGAGTCAGCCAGTGGCCCTCGGGGGCTCGTGTTGGCTATTGTCTTGGTCGTGTAGATGATCTCACAGGTGGAGATTCCCACAGGGGAGCCTGAGACAGCAGCCCAGGCAGCTAGACTGCAAAGGCCTTCTCCAGGGTGAGGGGCCGAGCAGGGAGCAGCCTTGGGGCATGGGTGGACTGGGCCTCGTAGCAGAGGCCCTGTGTGCTGACTTAGGGTGCTCTGGTGGCCAGGGTCCGAAAGCTTAGGGCACCTGCCTATGGGAACACCGTACCTGTGAGGTGTAGTCGGCCAGGACCCAGGGAAACACCGGATACTGCATGTAGTCATTGTAGGTCCTCCCGGCGAGCGTGTTGAGGTGCATGAGGTACTCAAAATTGCTAATGTCTCTTTTCTACCAGAAGAGACAAAGAGAGGATAAACCAAATGCATTTGGCATCTTCCCCAGGGCCACGGGGTCTACCTCTCAGCCCTCCGCAGGAGACCCTCCCTGTGTAGGTGAGAGCAGACAGCACACACCATGTGCCTCGTGCCTGAGCCGGGCCACCTCGGGGAGGCCACACCAATGCCAGTACGAACTGGAGCAAATATAATCAGGAAGCCAGGCCGGCCAGAAAAAACATACAGCTCAGCAGCCCAAAGCCCAGGGGAAAGCCTTCTTTTCTGTTAACTGTTGGGTGTGATACTCTAAAGTTGACCAAAGTAATAGCACAAATGTTGGGGGGGGGGGAACTTATTGCCAAGCCTTTTATGACTGGAAAAATAAGCTGAGGGAACTTTGCAGTCACAGAGAAAAAGGCCCTTACCAACGGGCTCAGTGAGCTGTCTTCCTCTGGGACTTTAGGAACTTTCTTTGCTCTGTCCCTGCCCGTTGGGATAACATGCGCTCTTAGGGTGCTCTGCCTTAATATGCACAGTCACAGATGGAGACAGGGACTGTATTGGGGAAAAATTCACCAAGCCCAACTGGTGAATGAGAGCTGCCATAGAGCTGTCATCTCTGATACTGGACCTGTGTGCTGTGGTCTCTCCTTTCTGTGGCCTGCTCCTTGGGAAAGGATTTTGCAAGTGAGTGATCAAGAGTTACTTTCTTGCTGCCATGTCATCTCTAGGACTGGTCTTCTTGGGGTCCCTTCCTTTCACTGAGAACCCTAGGCCGAATGTCAGCTCACCCAGGCTGGCAACCGCGTGTGTCTTCTTAGCACAAGAAGCGAACACTTGTGCCCCTCCTGAGTTGTGTTCGTTTATCCATATGTGTAGACCTTCATGGATGGAGTATGTGCGTGTATATGGGGCATGTGTACATGCACACCTGTACACGCACACACACACATTCACACTCCCTCCCCAGCTCTGACTCCAGTGCTCGAGAATCGCCTTCAATCACGGAGATCTTTTCAGGGAAATATTTGGGACATTTTGGTAAATTAAAAAAACAAGATTCCTCCTGATTCATTCGCAGGCTTTCTCTCTCCATCACTGGGGCCTGAGCTTTTTCTGGTCTGCGGTTCCCAGAGGGTTTCCTCAGACCCAGAGTCCTCTGAGGGTGTCATGTTACCTGCCATCTCTGCAGCACAGTCCTTTCGGACCCGGGATATCTCCTGTGGGACAGAAAATGATGGTGGTGACTAAATATATGAGGGCACAAACACAGGGAAAGGGGGTACTTTCTGGGGCTTTGTGGGGCCAGGGCATCCAGGATTGCCACAGAAGTCCCCAGGCACACGGCAGCTCTCCTGGCCAGGGCGACAAGATTATGATCCAAGCTCTTCTTGCCCCACCCTGCCCTATGGAAGGTTAGGTCCTTGGAGGCCCCGCTGCTCTCATGTGATGCCAGAAGATGCTGCTGCCTTAAGCGTGGCCAGTGGAGAAGTCCCAGGGTCATGCAGAAGCAGGCTGGGGACCTCACAGCCCCACTCTGGACTCTCACAGCCACATCTTAGCCATCTTTGCCCATGTGAATATACCACACATGAATAGATTATATGTGACTATACTATATTGACATGTGAACATAATATATGTATGTGGTTAAAAAAATGCAAACAACATGGAAGGCCATGAAATATAAAATAGTCTCCAAGCCACACTCCCACTCAAGAAGTATCTGCAGTTAATGGTTTCTGGAAAGACTTTACCCCCACATGCCTGCCTATAGGCTGACATGGTTTTTTTAAAAGAAAATGGTCATCCACGGGATCGTCTCAGTTGCACAGTTCTCCTCCCTGCTTCACGGGTGAGAGCTCTCTGGAGACCGCTCCCATCGCTCTGTGGCATTCTCTTCTACAGCAGTGGGACGCCCTCGTAGGATGGAGCCAAACTGTTTGAGCCTGCCCCTGCGGTGGGCTTTGTCCTCACAAATGATGTTTCCGTGACCACCTTTGGACAAAAATGTCTGGAGACTTTGCGAGGGTATCTAGGAGAGAAATTTCTGGCAGCACTACTCCTGGGCTAAAACGTATGAGCATTTTCAAGCTCGCTACGTATTGCCAAATTGCCCTCTTAAAAGGCTTACCGGTTTATGATTCTACCAATAAAGAAATACAAATCGAACTAAAGAAATACCGTTTTTGACTCATATGGTAAGGAAGAGTTTAGAAGTGTAGGAAGCTGCAGTGTTGGGGAGGGTGCGGGCAAGGGAAACACCCCTTCTGCTCAGCAGATTATTTGTAGAGCCCAGTTCCTTGGTCCCTTTTCCAGCTCTGTTTCCTTTCCCCCTCTGTCTCCTTGGGAAGCCCCCACTCCCAAGACCTGGTCAAACTAAATCATATCTCCTCTTTCCAGCCATGCCCTCCGTCTCAGGCCTGTGCAGGTGCCCACGGACACCACCCCCATGTGCATTCAGTGTTCCACCCATGCGGACTGCCTCAGGATCCTTCGGGCCTCCCTCTGTGCAAGGTCCAGATGCCCAAGTGTCCCAGAAGAGACAGTGCCTCCTCATCTCCCGTTCCAACCCTGCCATCATATCCTCTGTCCCAGACTCCCCATCCTGCCTCATTCAATTTTTCCCTTGGCAGATTTTCTATAGCGAAACCCAGGTTGGGATTCACTGCTTCCCCCAGTAGAGAAATCACCTTTTTGGTCCATTTCATCCAGGCAGATAACAACAACAACAACATCAACAAACAGAGGCAAAACATAGTCGGGTTACTGCTTTAGCTTGCAAAGTCTCCAGTGAAGATTCAGTTCTCCTGCTCTGTTTCTGAGCTGCCGCCCATCCCAGTTCCAGAAGGCAGGCTTCTCGGAGCGGCTGTACACCAAGGTGGAGCCCAGGCTGGAGACAGTGAGGGTCACACCCTGAAAAGGATGCACCCTGAGCCTTCCTGAGGGTGTGAAGCTGAGCTACACACGTGGAGCTGGTATGGCAAAGCCTGCTGATCTTGCTACTTTATTTTAGAAGTTCGACAGTGGCCTGGGAGTAGGGGAGCCAAATGGGCCTGATAGGGTCCAGGAAATGAGAGACAGCCTCTGTCATTTTCCCTTTCAGAAAGGGTTCTAGAATTTTACCTGTGGTCTTTTGTGACATTGCCACCAGGTGGAATGGTGGGCAGAAGATAAAGGCATTTCACCATCCTATTCCCCATTTAATCAGCTATGAGCTCCAAAGAAGATCCATCATTTCGTTACCATCAGAAAAGGACGCCATTACCAACAGTGCCAAGACACCTAAGCAAAGGTGAGTTCTATTTACAAAGAAATTTTTTAAAATCCTATTAATCTGAAGGCAATTACAGAACTCTTGGAATGGGCTATGTGAATTTTGTAAATATCTGGTCATTAAAGTATTTCTTTAAGAGTTGGTAAACTGCATTGTTCCATCAGTACCGTGTAAATTTTAGATTAAACAAGGTGTCAGAGATGGTTCTTAGCTTTCTAAAGCCCTCCTAAGGCCTGGGGGAGGCAGCGTGGGAAAGAACACTGTCTTTGGAGTCAATAGAACCTGGGTCCCAATCCTGCCCTGCCCCGCCCACTTGACTGCTCTGAACTGCTGTTTCCTCATCCTTCAAACATGGCCAACCCCATGTGTCACACAAGAGAGCTACAGGAGCGGTATGATCATGGGTTTAGAAAAGGCCAGCACACATGTGGGCACAGGGCTTCCTCAATGGGCATAATTCTAGTGAATGTTGGATGGAATGCTGTTCCAGAGCTGGGCCAATTCTTTTCTACTCTGAGAGGAGGAAAAGCATGGTGTAAGAGTGAGGACTTGCTTCCGGTCAAGACCTGCTTGGTCTGCCAGTACCTGTCGGTATGATCTTAGAATGACTGTGCCACCTGTGAATCAGGTCACCTGATTCACAGCAAGTGTGAGGAGCTCCTCAGGGTTTGCCGTGGAGTCTACACACGGCAAGAGTCAAGACCCTCGGGCAACCTGGAAGGAGTTGAGAAGAATGGAGCAACTCAAAGTCCGTCGGGACGAGGGAGGTTACTCTGCCTAACCCGAGGGTGGCCTAGCACGGTGGACCCACAGAGGACATCTTATCAGCCCCACTGCCATCCCAAGACATGTGTAAACTCCTCTGGATGACTTCCAAAGATGGGGACACTATCTTCAATCAGGACTTTGTGAGTAGTCAACAGGTAGACTGGGTTCAAGTTCTTCCCTATTTTGAGGGGTGATTTTTATCCATGTTGCTTCATTTTTAATCAAATCTGTGTCCTTCAACCCCCACAAGTGCTTTAGAAGCGCCAGTGCTGCTGTCCTGTGGCCTTGGGGCCTTCTCTACTCCAGAACATCAGTGCCCGTGCTTTGCCTCCTCACGCTGCCTTTGACTTCCGCCTGACTTGAGGCAGCCCCACCTGATTAACACACCCCCTCTACCCTGAGCCTGGCTCCCAGAGTCAGCCAGAGTCACAGCTCAGGAGCTCACATCTTCCCTAGAGAGGCTGGCAGAGCAGCCTGAGGGGGCCTTCCGAGGCGGGGCTAGCCCAGGCCACGGTGTCTCTGCCAAGAGACTCCTCGTCTGGCTGGAGGCTGCACCCTTTCAGCCCAGGAAGGGATGGCATCTGGGGAGAGTCTCTGTCCAGCCTCCTCCTCACCTCTGGGACTAGGGGGCCAGGGCTAGTCTTTAGGCACCCGGAAAATAACCTGGCAGACTGCCAAGGAGGCCCCACTGGACAACCGGGGCTTCTGAGCTCAAGTGGACACATTGCACAATCCTGCGGCCTCTCAGAGTCTCTTGTGTGTTTCCCATTTGCAAAACAGTATGAGAGCACAGTGAAATGGGCTGATGAAGGACTGAGAGGTGTTAAGAAAGCACAAACCACACTGAGAAGAAAACTCACTCATCTTGCCCACTGGGAGTGTGTGTCTGCTAATGGGTTTGGGCTATGTCTCAGGCCAGGGCGAGTGTTGGCCGGCGTCCTGCCCAGACCCTCACCCCGGCAGGCTCCAGGACAGGGAGCACGTGTGCTGAATGGTGTTGGGGAGGCAGTATGAGGCATGAGCAGAGTGTTTCATGAGGAGCCAAGAAACTGGTAATAGAAACACACTCTCTCCCCTTCTTGTTCTCTGCAGAAGCAAATTTCAGTTAGCCTAGTTTTCAGATCTAGGTTGTAGGTCAATAGAAATCCATGAAGAGATGGATGTTCTTGCAAACCAGAGAGTCCCTCTGTATTAGCAAGATATTCACGCTTTCTGTTATAACTTCCTGACTTTCTACCTTTCTCTAACATGTAGAAATCTCGCACGCAGTTCTAGACCTAATAATAACAATAATGTCAAATGCATTGCAGATTGCAAAGACTTTTTGCCTATTGTCTGATTTTCACAAAGACCCAGTAAGGCAGCCTTTATCTCCATTTACAGATGAGGAAATGGAAGTGTGGGGTGAAGGGGTGGCATGCAGACTAGGGAAGGTCATGATGGCTTGCTGGAGCCACCCCAAGGTACCCATGAACGCCCCCCACACCGGGCTGCGCCAAATACCTGCGGGACCAAATCTTGACCCAGGGCCCTGACTCCAAAGACAAGCTCTTGCCTCTGAAGGGGAAAAGAAAACAAAAGCAAACAGAAAGAGACAACAATCTCAGTTCTGGCTGGATTAGAAGGCAGTTACCTGACAAACTAGTAATTTGTGTATGTTTGGAGTTAAGAAATGAGCATTACCAAAGTTACTAAAATCTTATTGCATCTCTATGCCATAAACAGGACGCTGTACCTGTATTAAAATTCTGGATGGTTACGCAACAAGAAGTTACCTCCAGATGCTGAAATTAAGCAGCTTCAATTTTTATAATGTTTCATGTATCTGCATTTTAAAATGTATTTATATGCTTGTGTATTTTCTTCTTTAAAATACTGATTTAATTTTTGCTTATCTGTGTTTTATGGTTTTCATGTTATTTTCTAATTTAAATTATGTGCTTTTATGAATATTCTAATTAGAAATCCACTAGGTAGTAGGATTTCAGGTAATTTTTAATTTTCTACTTATCTTCATTTGCTAGTTGTTTTAAATCCATTCATTGTCTAAATTAAATGATCGATTTTATTTTAGTTTTGGATTAAGTGATGGTGTTCATGTATTTAAAATTTTTATAGTTATCTATATTTTCAATTTAATGATTTATTATATCTTTATTTTTTAATTTAAACTATTGCACTTTGCTTTTTGTACTTTCCAAAATTTTTACTGCTTGGACTAATTTTGCAATTCAAATTATTTATTTGTTAATTGCTTTATTTATTTCCTCATTCTATGTGGGTAGTGCAGTTTAGAATATTTGTATATTTTTATTTCTATACATACATTCTCTAATTTTTCTATGTTATTATTTGCATAATTTTAATATTTAGCTTTTTTGGCCAATTTTCACAATTTCTGGAAATTTAATTTAAAGGAAAAAACTGAGCAAAAAGACTATAATAAATGCACAAATATATTCACTGCTGCCTTATTCACGATAGCATCAAATTAGAAACAACGGGGAAAGTAAAAAAGTCCGTGAGATTCAGTATGACTCATTCAAAATGTAGATTTTAGAAACTACAGCATTTAAGGAAAATATTAATTAGGAAAAATGATTACAGAACTGATTTTTATGACCATTATAACCTCTCTGATTTAAGAGTGTAAAACGAATACAAAGAGAAAACTGCAAGAAAAAATTCAATCCAAATAAACAAACAGATAAAAGACAGCCCTCTCAAGATCCCAAAGCACAAAGAAATGTTTGGACAAATTACAAAGAAGTTGAATGATGTTTCTTGGGACTCAATGTTATGGACGTAAGATATTTGGCCCTTGAAAGAGGCAAGCGTGGCTTTTCCCCTTCTGTTGTCAGTGTCTGCTTCGGCGGTTGCCATGGAGATCGGCTCAGGGCTGGTACACAAGCCTCTGGCTGCACTGCTAGGGGAGCCCGGAGAAAAGTGATTGCGAGCATCCCGGGGGGCCAGGCCGGGCCCCCTCCCCAGGGAAGCAGACCAGGCCTGCTGGAAGTCTGGGTGTCCTGGAGACCCTTGCAGCCACTGTGTAGTTTCACCTTGCAGGCTGGCGTCAAGATTATGCTAATTAAGTCCCCGTCTCAGTGTCTTGTTGCCTGGTGACAAAGTTTCACAGCTGAGGAGGAGGAACTGAGACGACCAGGGTGAGTGTTTCTCTGGTGGCAGCACTGCATTTATGGATTTACTTTAACTTTCCCAAACAAGCACTTCAAACTCTGCTTTTCTCTCTCCTCCTTTGAGTGAGCAACTCTGGAAATGCCAGTTTTCCTTGCGTGCCTTGATTACAAACCCCAGACTCGCGCTAATTTGTTATTTAGGCAAGGAGGCAGCTGGCCCTGAGCCCCGGGCAGGAGAGGCAGCTGGCTGGGTCCCAGCCGGGTGTCAGTGGGGGGCCTGGGCCGCGGGTGAGCTTGTGAAGGTTGGTGTTCGAGTCCGGGGGCTCTGGGGCACACTCTATCCTCTTTCCAAAGTCTGGGTCTCCTTGAGCGTTTTGCTGCTCCACAAGCAGGTGGAGACTGCTGTTGGAACTGCTTCTTCACCCAACCGGTTCCCCCTCTACAGAAACTGCAAAGGGCACGCTCACTCACTCAGGAGGCTGGAGCCTGCCCTGTTCAGGCAACTTCAGCAGACCTCGCTGACGGCTGCGAACCGTAGTGGGGTTTGGGGCTCAGTCCGTCTTTTCAGAAGTCTGGAGGCACACCCCTCCCAGGGGTTATCCGGAACACTGGAACCCACTAACAAGTGGGTAAGTCCGGGCTGGGCGGGGCCTTGCAAGGAGAGACTCTTCATGGAACATACTAGAACACACACCTCATGTCCCTATTTCCATGACAGGTATAAGGGGAAAAGGTCAGCCTCCCTATTTTGAGTCTTTGTGGCTTTGAACAAGCTACTTGGCTTCTCTGAGCCTCCGTTGCTGTATCTGTTCAGTGGGGATGAAAATCAGGTGGCTGTAAGAATTACTTATAATGTCTGTAAAACGCCTGGCCTAGAGTAGGTGGTCAGCATGATCCAGACACACAGTCTAAAGGCAGGAACCTAATTTAAATGTGTTAAAAACTACGTAGTGTCCTTGCTTTGTGAAGGGTCTAGGTTCCTGGTACATTTGCAAACCATACGGCTGATATGCAAACTGAGTACTGAGGACCAGCTTCCATGCAATGAAAGATCAGGAAATGTGTACAAAGTTGCACATCTAAGGAAGGACTGAGCTGTGACTGGGCTTCAAGCTGGGTACGCTGCACGTCTTCTGGACTTGACCCTCAGTGTGGAGGGGAGAAAGGAGCTGCAGAGACAGCCGCTGTCCACTCTGCAGAGTGCCTGAGCCCCCTGGTCTAGAGACCGACTTTTAGGGCCTAGGGTTTGGTGGCTCCAGCTTCCTCTTGGGGCTCCATGGGTCTCCCCCTGCTGCCTGACACTCCTTGGCTGGCAATGCTACCAAGAGCTGAGGGTGACTTCATGCTCTTTCCCTCCACCCATCATCTGGGTGATGGGAGAGTCAAAGCTAGGTGATGCGTTCTGGTCCCTGGTACCCCTAGGACACAAGCTATACAACTGGGCCACATCCCCCTCCAAATGGGCATGATGGCTACCCTCTTGCACAACCCATTGCCACTTTTCAACTGTCAATCTCTCTACCAGTGTCACGTAATAGAAGTTATGTCAACCCCCAGGGCTGGGTCTCATAACACACGTTTGCTTTCTTTTTGGTGAAGGATGAGCCTTAAGGATGGGGCTGGACTGGACTAGGATATAAGTTCCCAGAGAATCTAGCTCAGTTTAAGCCATGTCTAGAAAACATGATGAGCCAGGAGCCTGTCAGCCCAGAGAGCCAAATTTATCACAGGGCCTTGTCAAGCCAAACTTTCAGGGAAAAACCAAATGGCAGTGAAACCCACAGGCAAGGGAGCTGAGCAGAGGCTGGCTCTGCTTGACTATCATATGACTCTGACAGGGACACGATCTGGAGGCTCGGTGCTTTATGGGTAAAGCGGATGGATGGATTATTTATGCACTTATCTCATTTAATGCCCTTGGACATAAAGGTAGCACTCAATACAAAGAGGAAAAGTATATAGAAAACGCCCAGAAATGTCAGCCTGCTCTTGCCTTTACTCTTTGACCCACACATGCAATTCAGAAGACCGTCCATTGATTTTGCTCCCACCACATATCCTGAATATGTACACACTTGGTGCAGGCTCCCATCCTCTCCTGCCTGCAGCTGGCCTGTCTTTATCTACTCTCGCCTCCCCATCTCTGCTGGCTTCCCAGCAGCCAGGGTACTCCTTCTAAACTTCCGCATGGCCCCCCTCATGCAGCCCCTGCCCTGTCCTCCTCATCTACCCTCTCCTTGCCATCTCCGCACTAGCCACCCCAGCAGCTCCCTTTTCTTAAACACCCTCAGCTCCCTGCCATTGTTAGGATTTTGCACCTAGGACGCCCACTATCTGGGGTGTTCTTCCTCAAATCCTCCTGTGTGGCCTCTGCTTAAAGGCTCTGCACAAGGGTCACCTCAGAGAGGACGTCCCCAACCCTCTCAGTCTAAATTAGCACCCTCCTCCCCACACAATATTCTCTCCTGAGCCTGGGCATTCCCCTGCACACCGTCAGGTTTTATTTTTTGCAGGGCATTTACACCAACTGAAATGATTTTCGGTCTTTCTGTTTGTTTTGTTTTTATTGTTTGATTTGCTTTTTCCTAAAATAGGAGTTTTTTGAAAAACACAACGATGTCTGTCTCATTCACCGCGTATCTCCCGACCTGATCCTGACTTACAGAATGCCTCAAGCACAAATTGTTGAATGAATGAATGATTAAGCAAGTGAGTCGCTTGGGCTGTAGCAAGCTCTAGAGGTTAAAAATGGACAAAGGTATAGTCAACTCTACAAGTGGCCATTCTCTTTCTTTTTATTATTATTAATAATTGGTGTTTAAAAGGTTGCAAAGACTTTGTGCTGGGGAATCATCAAAGATTATTCCACAAGTCCTACATCTGGGATTAATGACCAGTGGGTAGTGTCCTGAGGCTACTAATCGGAGGGAGGCGATTGATGTGGTGCTGTCTGGTGCACCTGTCAGCCTTTTTTTCTCTTGTGAAGGCACTGACTGCAGGAGCCAGATGACCAGTCACTGAGTACCCACTGCACGCTAGTCATCGCCTCATTTACTCTTCATAACCACCTGCCATTTTCTAACCCATATTGCAGATTGGTAAACTGAGCTAATGATTAAGACCAGGTTGGCCGTGAAGGTGGGATGGAGCCCCGTTCGATTGGTCTCAAAGCCCCCTCACTCCCCACTGCCCACGTGCCTGCCTTCTATTGAAACTTGTATACGCAACAGGAAAGGAACAGAGAAAATGGCTGATAGCTGGGCACTGCCCCTCTTTGGAAGATGCTGAAGAGCTGCCCATACTAAACCAAGTGCTGGCTGCCTTGCTTGCCATCGTCTGCACCGTTCCTACCAAGTTATATCCATTTGCCCAAAGTCATCAGAAAATGTCTCCCTCTCATTGGTGACAGTGTTGAATGCTTCACTAATAGCTCCAGGTAAGCCTGATAAAGGCTGGAGGAGGAAAGGGGAATCTGAACAGAGGAATTATTTCTACTGAAAATATTTAAGATTAGAAGACACAGCGTTTTTGAAAGACAGGTGCCTTACATACAAGCAATGAACCCCAAATTGCCCTTTTGCACCCTCTATCTTGAAGCATCCCTTAAAAATAAGACCGTGGTCCTTCTAATGCCCTTCGCCTCTGGATGGAGAAAGTTCAGCCACTGTTTAAATAGATATCCTCCCCCACATTGCACCATATTGCGGCCACCCACACAGGAAGGGCGATGTGGTTTGTATATCACAGTCATCTGTGCTTGACTGAGGGTTTTCAGTGCCGTGGAGGGTTGTTGGCTCTGAGAGAACATCTCTGGAGGGAAACAAGGATGGCTTCCTGAGGCTGCCTACCTCCTCCCCTTCCAAGCCCCCTCTCAGCAAGACCAGGCTCACAGATGATGGGGGACAGCGTGAGGCTGCCTCAGACGACCCGACTGTCCACCGCCAGCCCAATCCATGTGGCTGCAGTTGGCGGGGACGCCTCTTGGGTGCTCTTCAACATCCTCTGCAGCTGCCGCCAGGCAAATGAGGACTCTCAATGAACAACCATCACCACCAGCGCCATTACTAAGCACCTCCCACACCCCAAGCTGTTTCTCCTCGCATTGCCCCCTTTACCTGAGGGAACTGAGGCTCAGAGAGGGACCAGGGCTGGTCCAAGGTCACACGTCAGGAAGAAGTGGGAAGCCAGGATGTGAGCCAGGCTTGTCCACCACACACCTCTCGCCCTCGACATACGTGGACGTATGTGGTCCCTTCTTGTCTTTGTCCAGGGAATGTTTTCCCAGATTTCCCTCTTTGACCCAATGATGCCCAACATTTAAAAATCTCTCTCTTACACACACCTTATTTTAAACAGGCTGGCATGAGTGACTTCAAAGAATTCACGCAATTGGAAAGGAAGTGGAACTCGGTGTGTGTATGTATGGATGTGTGTTCGTAACTTTCTTTCCTGATTGGAAGTAGATTTCATATCTATTGCAGACAATTTGGAAACTACATAGACATGTAAGAAAGAAGTAAAAATAATCGGATACCATAATATCAGAGAGCATTCCTACTAATATCTGGGTATTCTTTCCTTCCATCCTTTTTCTGCAGGTGTGAGTATGTGCATGCCCATGAGAGCACTGGGGTCATATGTACATAGAATTTTTTTGATAGCATTATATCTTAAAAATGTTCCCTTTCAGCATTTTTGGAAAACAATGTTTTTGTTTTGTTTTAGTTACTGTTTAATATTTATTTCCCTCTGTGACTACACAGTAATTGTTTAATCTATTGTCCATTGTTAGATATTTGGGTTGAGTCCATTTGTTTTTATTATTTTAAATGGCATTGCCATAAACATATTGATGCAGAACGTTTTGTTCTTATTTCCTGAAGAGAGATGCTTAGAAGTGGAATCTATGCTTCCCCGCTGGCCAGGGTCCCCATGTCTCCCCAGGTCCTCAGCTCCATCTCCTCAGCCCCCTTGCTTGAGCCCATCCCTTGACCCTTGCACTGCTCCATTTCTAAAGCTTTTCTTTCCCTTTGGCCAATTAAATCCAAGTTAATCCAATTAAAATGACCTCATTGTGATATCACTAACCCTCTTCCCAGCCTCTTAGCACACTCATTCTCACAGCCGAGCAATTCTTCGCACTGTTATATGCATCCACCTGGGAAGAGTCCATGTCATCATGTCGTTCCCCTCTCCTCTCCACCCAGACCTCTCCCTTAAAACATATTCCACATGTTCTGGAAATCCTTTCGAAGGAGGCAGAAAAACAAAGGGTCAAGTTGATTCCAGAGCAGCTGATTACAACCTGTGAAATCTGGGACAAAGCTTTTGTCCCAGACCTTTCCTAGGGCACAGGAAGTGGGACTGACCTTGTTAAGCACCTAAAATTCGTTCATTCAAGCAAGATCGACTGAGAGCCTACTGTGTGCCAGGCACTGGGACGCCTCAGTGGACAAGACAGATGAAGAGCTCTGAGCTCAGATGCTGGTCAGGGAGGAGAGTGAGGGACGATAAAAATACACATAACAAGAAAGTTAGAAATATGACATTATAAAATACATTTAGGTGCTAAGTGCGATGGAAGAAAGTACAGCCTACCTGGAGGATCTGCAGGTGCTGGGGGTCGGTTTGCATCGTTAGTTGGGGGCTCAGGGCAGGCTGAGAAGGTAAAAACTTACCCAAAACTTTGAAGGAGGTGAACAGATCAGTCCAATAGATATCTGAGAGAAGAACCTTCCAGAAGAATGAAACAGTTGGAGCAAAGGCCATAAGGAGGAGCTTGCCGGGCATGTTAGAGGAACAGCCAGTGAGTCCCAGTGGCTGATGTGGCGTGAGCGTTGGGGCGAGTGGTGGGGAACCCCTCAGAGAGACTGGGGCAAGCCATGGGGGCCACCAGTAAGACTCCGGCCCTTCCTTGGGTGACACGGGAGTCACTGGAGGGCTGTGAGCCACAATGGGACGTGCTGTGATAGAAATTCTCTAGCTGCTGTGTTGAGAACGGACTGCAGAGGGACAAAGACACACACAGGAGAACAAGGCAGGGGGCTACTGGGAGCATTCCCATGAGGAAAGGGAGCACCCAGCCCAGGGTGGCACCTGGGGAACGGGCGGATTCTGGATATATTCCGAGTGCAGAGTCAGCAGAATTTCCTGACAGATTGAACATGGAGAGTAAGAGGAAAGGTGGTGTCGAGTGGGATGCCACAGATTGGGGTCTGAACACCCGTGAGATGCCGCTGTTGTCAGCCCGGCTGGAGGCGGCTGCGGGTGGAGCTGGCTGACAGGGAGCTCAGTTTTGGATGCGCTGAGCGAGGTGTCTTCATAGCACAAGCAGAAATGTTGAGTAGGCAGTAAGATACGGAAGTCCAGAACTGGGGGAGACATGCAGGCAAGAAACAAAAGTTGGGGAGTCATTCGTGTCTAGATGCATTTAAAGAAATGAGACGAGGGGAGATCACCAAGCGATCAAGTGTAGACCAGCAAGACGAGTGTAGACAGAGAGGAGGAGCAAGTAGCTTGGCCATGGCCCCCTCGGAGCACGTGGCAGAGGCAGCTTCTAACCCAGCCTGGTCAACTCCTTGCCATGTCTGGGCTATTTCCACTGGCCCCAGTGCCCCACTCAGTGGACTGGATGTATGGGGTCTGGCACACGGTAGCTTCCTGGTGGACCCCGGACCCCATCTGGGAGCACACACTTCACGGCGAGGTGCCAGCCCAGTATAGCCCTATGGCTGATGCCAGCCTCAGGGCTGGGATTCCTTCTGTCTCAGGCAGACGTTAGAGAGGCAAGGGCATGGCCATGTCTGTGATCCCCTTGGGGGAAGTGTAGGGGCTGGCCTTCTCTCCTTGGTTTGACATGTGCTGGGGACTTTTCTCACAACAGTTAGAGTATTATTTGAAAAATAAGCCAGATCATGTCTGTCCTCTTTTTTTTTTTTTAATTGTTCCTCTGGCCTTCCTTCTTCCCTCCCTTCCTCCTCCCTCCTTTCCTCTATCTTCTCCCCTCCTCTCCCCTTCCTTCCTTCTTTCCTTCCTCCCTTCTCTCCCTCCCTCTTCCCTCCTCCCTTCCATGTTCCTCCTTCCTTCTCCCCCTCCTCTTCCGGTCCCTCCCCTCAGCCACCGGGCCTTTCCACCTGCTGTTTCCCCTAACTGAAACACCCTCCCTGACTCCCTGAGTCCTCATTTCCTTCAACCTCTGCTCAGATGTCTTCTTCTCAAAGAGGCACCTCCCCACCCCCCAAAGAGTGCATCCCCAACACCACTCTGACCTCTTTTGTCCTGCCTCTTTCTCTTCCCGGCACTCACGGCCACCCTGCGGTATATGTTTGTTTGCTCTTGTGCATCTCCTCTTCTAGAACGGGAGCAGGGCCTTCATTTTGTTTGCTGCACAAAACAGCACCTCGTCCATAGTCCTTATCCAACACGTATTCTTGATGAATGAATGAATTCCAAAGGGCCGTGGAAGGTTCTGCTGTTCCCTTAAAGTTGATCCTCAGGCATCTCCTTAAGGTATCTCATATGTCACAACCTCACAGGTGGGCAGACTTACAGCAAAGCCCCTTGGAGCTGGGGGCTGTCCTACAGCAGATGGGGGTCCCACACAGGGGTAGCCACCAGCGTACGCCACCTGGGTACACTGGGTTCTGCACGTTGTATCCACCCCTCAGCAAGTTCTCACTGGGCCAGATGGGGTCATGGTGCAAAAAGAA